ATAATTTGTTTCCCTGTCTCATTTCTTATTCTAATTTAATGCACATTTTGGATAGGTCATTTGAACTCTATCTCAGTTCTCTAGACTCTCAGATGAGAATAAGAATTACATTAGCTCCTGTATGTATATGGCTGTTGTAAAATGCTTATGAAGTGATATGAGAAACTTGCATGGGGCTTGCTCTGCTGAAGAATTGAAGCCAAAACCCCAAAAGAGAATAAACTAATCCCCCAAATATTCTGATTTTGGGTCAAACTTGAGACAAACAGAAAGATGTTTTTGTAAGATCTCATATTAACAGTCAGTTAATGACCAACTATCTAGACTAGACTTTTTGTTCAAAATGGCACCAAAATCACTGCCTCACCCAACACTGAAGTTCACAGGTATTTGGTTGTCCTTACCTTTGAACCATATGCTCAGATTCTCACTGAACCTACAGGCTTACCTCTGACACCTTTACTAGCTCCTTACTAATAATTTATTTTAGTGGCCTGAGTAAGACATAGGTGCTATATCCATACTGAGAAAAGCTCATTTTCCCAGGGCATGTTCCAGGTGAACATTTCATATAGGGATGAAGCACATCCTGAAGTCCATGGAAAAGAAACAGCCAAGGAAAGTGGCACTCATCCACCCTTTCACCCCCAGCTCAGTTGGGATGCAACCTGGATTTCCCTCAGCTTTTGGTTGCTAAGCAAAATGCAAGCCCTGGTTTTATATTCCAGACTTCTGCAAAATTTCCAACCACCAACAGCACTACGTGGGGAATTCAGATTTTTGGAGCATGGGAGAGAGTGGTATGGTGACTCCTGACTTCTTTGTCCAAGTGTGCCTGACCATCTCTTTCTGTATGCAGAAAATAGTGAGATCCACAAATTAATTACATTCCTTCATCCTGTAGAAGTGGACAGAAAAGAGTCTTTGTATTGGGTATTAAAACCATACAGCTAGCTTTCCTCTAGTTGTGGAACATCTTGGAAGAACGTATTAAGACTGAGTGTGTGTGTGCACGCATGCAAGAGAGAGACAGTAAGGATCAGGAAGATCGCACCTTCTACTGAACTGCTGATGGGGGTCTGTCTAGGAGGCTACCACTTATGAAGGGCAGATCTCCTACTGCTTCTCCAGCTGAGATCATGTCCAATCAATTCAGTCAATATTATTTACAGCCCTGAAAATGCAAAAATGCTGCATGCAAGCCAAAAGTATAATTCAAACACAGAAGCTTGCTTATCAACATAAAGTTTCTGTTCTTCTAAAACAGCATACTACATGGAAAAAAATCAAAATGGTAGAACTACACTGTCAGCCATACTTTGTTTGATAGTTAATGATCTAAACATGTCTTTTTAATGCACACATGTTTTTCTGAAGCAGTTTATTTTTCTATGATTTCAACACCCAGCAAAACACCCAACTGTCAGGGTCACATTTTTCTTTCAAACTGCTCACCTTTCTTCCGCACAGGAAAAAAACAACCAAACAAAAACCAAACCAACCCAAACCTTACAAATGTTAATTAAATCTTAATACTGCGTCTGAACCCTGAGTCCAGGTTTTCACTTAAATCCAAAGGCTATCAGCAATTTAGAAATCAACACCATCTCCAACATCCAGTATTTTTTCAGCATGCAGTTAATTTAAAAGCTTGAATGAGACAGAGAGTGATGGCTGTGCCAGGTCTGTAACCAAAATGTGACTTTCCAGCAGCTCAGATTTGCCAGCAAAGTTGCAAAACAATTTTTTTTAGTAGTTGCTGTTCACAGTTGCCTTAGATAAATACAAAATACAACAGAAAACCTGAAAGGCACTTCCCTGTTATGATCATACATTAATTCTGCATGCGGCCACACCAGAAATTCTCTGGTCTGGACTACAAGATGACACAGTGGACTATATCTGACATGATGCAAAGTGGGTTTTTACAGGTTGCCATCAGGACTGCAGATGTGATTATGGCTTCAAAGCCATAGCAACATAAATAATAACAAAGGGTTCAGTACTAACTTTTCGAACTAATATCACTTGAAGGAGCAGAACAAACAGCCTGGACGTGGGCTCACAGCCAGCCCTGCCACACGACACTACTATCGCACACAAGTTTTGGGCGTGTGGTGGCTATTTACAGTGGCATCTCTGTGGCAAACTCACAGGCTCCCCGACAGCGGCTCAAATGGACATCAGGCACCCGCTTGCCAACGCGGGGCAGGCGCGGGACAGGTACTACTGCACTTCGAGCGCGCTGCCGCGGGGCTGGCTCATCACCGTTTCGCCCCGTTTTCCAGTACAACGTCGTCTGAGCTGCTGACACGGGTATCCGCAGGAGGTGGGAAAGGGAAGCTTGGGAGCCGAGTACCGCAGCTTTCTGGCTGTGAGAGAGCTGCGCTTTCTACGCACGCTTCTCTCCATCGCAGGACCACAAGGGGCAAACCAAAGATTTAGGGTGCGGAAAAGGGGAGGGGGCTGCAACCCTCCGCCCCCCTTCGCGCCTCCAGCGTTAAAGC